CAACCTCAAACTCCTGAGCTCAAGCGATCTTCCTGCCTCAGCCTCCTAAGTAGCTGGGACTACAGACACACAACACCATGCCCTGCTAATTTTTTCTGTTTTTAGTAGAGACAGGGTCTTGCTTTTACTCAGGACTCAGGCTGGTCTTGAACTCCTGAGCTCAAGTGATCCTTCCACCTTGGCTTCCTAGAGTGCTAGGATTACAAGCATGAGCCACCGTGCCCAGCTGGATTATGCTTTTGTGTAGTATCTAAGAAATCTCTGACCTACTTCACAAAAGTTTTCTTCTACATTTTCTTCTAGAAGTTTTACATGTGTAGGCTCTATATTTAGATTTTATAATCCTTTTGAGTTAATTTCTTATAAGATGTGAAACATGAGTCAAAGTTCATTTTTTTTACGTATGGATATCCAATTTTTCCAGCACCATTTGTTGAAAACATTATCATTTCTCTATTGAATTGTCTTTACACCATTTTCAAAGATTAATTGACCATATATGTGCAAGTCTATTTCTAGATTCCGTTACATTGATCTATTTGTTTTCTTTAGACTAATACCACACTGCATTCATTGATTACTGTAGTTTATATTAAGTCTTAAAGACAGATACTGTAAGCCTTCCAGCATTTTTCTTTTTCAATGTTGTATTAGCTTTGAAGTTTTATGTGAATTGTAGAATCAATTGGTCAGTGACTACACACACACACACACACACAGCCTGCTGAGATTTTGATTGGGATTACATTTAATCTATACATCAATTTGAGAAGAATTGACATATTAATTATATTGAGTCTTCTGATCCATGAACACAGGATATATCTCCACTTATTTATGTCTTCTTTTATTTCCCTGAGCAATGTTTTGTGCTTTTCAATATATAAGTTTTACACATCTTTGATTTATCCCTAAGGATTTCATTTTTTTATGCTATTATAAATGGTATTGTTTTCTTAATTTCAATTTCTGGTTGTTTAGTTGCTAGTATATAGAAATATACTTTTTAAATATTGGGCATGTTTAAATGTTTTGCAAATTAACCTATTTCTAGTGAATGCTTTTTTATACATTGAACAGAATTATCTACATGGATGATCATGTCATATGCAAATAAAAACTTTTATTTTCTCCTTTCCAATCTTTTTTTTCTTTTTTATCTTGGCGTATTGAAATGGCTAGATCCTCCAGTATAATGTTGAGCAGAGGTGCTCAGAGCAGATACCCTTCCCATGTTCCTGATCTCAGGAGGAAAGCATTCTCCTTTCACCATTAAGTATGATGTTAGGGGTTTTTGTAGATCCCCTTTAACAGATTGAAGAAGTTACCTTTTATTCCTAGCTTGCTGAGAGTTTTTATCATGAATGTATGTTGAATTTTGTCAGATACTTCTTTTACATCTATTAAGATGATCATGTGGTTCTTTTTTAGCTTGTCAATATGATGAATTACTTTGATTAATTTTCAAATGATAAACCAATCTGCATTTCTGGGATAAAACCTAATTTATCATGATGTATTATCCTTTTGATATATTCTTGTATTAGATTTGCTAAAATTGTTAAGAATTTTTGCACTTAATGTTCAAGAGTGATATTTGTCTGAAATTTTCTTTTCTTGTAATGTGTTTGGCTGGTTTTGATATCAGAGTAATGCTTTCCATATAGAGTAAGTTGTAAAGAATTCTCACCTTCAATTTTCTGGAAAAGTCTTATAGAATTGATACTCTTTGTTCCTTTAATGTTTAGTAAAATTCACGCTGTAGCGTGAATTTTCTTTGTGGTAAGATTTTTAACAGCAAAGTCATATAGGGCAAATCAGTTTATCTATTTATTAATATTATTGAGTGAGCTTGATAATTTTTGTCTGTATTGTAAAATTTTTAAACTTTATATTTTCCTGATACCTCAACATCTCCACAGGCTATGAGCACCCTGCCCAAGGAACCAGGTATACCAATGTGATAAGGCTAGTTCCTGCCACAAGTTCCCCTTCTTGCCCTCCCCTGATTGTGAACTAGTGACATTCAAAATCACCAATGAAATCTCCTCACATCTTTTGCTTGTGTACTCTGCTCTAACCCCAGTAAAGGCTCTCCTCCAAGGGTCTTCACTCTCTCTCAGCTCCCTACCTACTTGACTGAGCCTGCTCCCCTGGCATTCACTCCTCCCAAATAGCCCCGTGTGGCATGCCATACCTTCTTTTTCTAGGACCTATGAGTATAATAAATCCTTTAATTTCATATGCTTC